AAAGTATGTGAAGGAGAAAGAAGGGAGGCGTCAGCAGTAGCCTGTTTTCGCTTACCCGCCCTGCTGTATGCAGCAAGTAAGGCGACCCGGCTGATGGCACCACGCGACGGCCGATGTGGTATGAGTTTATTTGTGTATGTGCAGTTCATGGTTGTACGTGGGCTGGGATACTGCCAGGGTGCCCACACCTAGACAGGAGGACGATTAGGGTCCTCAACCAAAGCCTTTGGCTCAAAAACCTAACCACAAGGCAGCGGTGTTTGGCGGGAAATGCAAATGCATTACCATTTCTACGGAACAAGTCGCCACATGTTCCAACCCCCAACCTGGAGGGCCAGGATACTGTGTTCGTCAGACCTCTAACCATTGACCAACATGGTATGAGAGACTCTGTGAGTTGAGAGAGACACTCTCCAGTATAGCTCAATGGATCGCTGAGGTGCGCAAACCGTCACACCACGGTAAGGTCCAGTCTCTTCGTGATGTGGGAATGTAAGGTCCAGTCTCTTCGTGACGGGTGTGGGAATGTACGGTTGGCGGTGTAAAATATTCCCTATTGGTATTTAACAAGAATGTTCACTCTCTCCATTCTTGTTAAGCTTCGTCATCGATGAAATAATGAGTCGAACGCTGGCAGGTTTTCAAAATCCCAGTGTTGCTGGCGAGGGCCTTGTCGATCTGGAGTATGCAGACCAAGTCGCTCTCGTCGCACAAACCCCGTTGGATAGACTAGCCACCGTCATACCAACTTTGGGTATGCGCCTAGCACCTTCAAAGCGCAAAACCACGCTTCAGAACGTACAGTTTTTGAACATGCCTCCTTACAATTTAGCAGAATCACTGGAGGTGTAGGGCAATTAACATATCTCGGTTGACGGAAATGTGTCTGGTGGAGTCACTGCAAGAACCTCAGAGCCTCCAATCACGTTCGCTAATTTGGGTCACTTGTGGTATCAAAAAGGTATATCGCTGGATCTCAGGGACAGCGTGTATCAGGCTATGGTAGTGGTTGTGTTGTACGGCTGCGAGAAATGGCCACTTTAAGCAAAATATCTGAGATCCTTTCAAGTCTTTAATAACCCGTGCCTCAGACCTGTAATTGGAATCAGCTGGATCCAGCGAATTCGCATTAGGTTGGTCAGGGAACGTGTCTCCGGTAAAGCAGCGGACACTTCAGTCGAAGAATGCATCCAGAAATGCAAGCAAAGGTAACTGGACCATGTGTCACGCATGCCGTGAAGTTTTGTTTCCGGTGCTTTTCGCAATGGCGCAGATCTAGATGTAGGCATGATGTGAAACGGTAAAAGGGGATGAAGGATGTTGCGGAAACTTTGGCCGTTGTTGGTGCTGTTCACCTTCCAGGAAGAGGTAATCGCGATTGAGGACACTGAACTATGTGATGACTAACCGATGTCGGTGGCGTTCATGCAGTGAGTTTCTATACTGATTGTCTGATTGAGCGCTTGTGTTTGTGGACACCTTAGAATGCTTGCGGTAATCCCGCAGCAGGTCTCCCCCCTTCCCCCTCTTCTCTTATTTTCACTTCAAGAATTTAAATATAATTGTTAAAGCTTCATTGTTGTACGGATGTGAAGCATCAATCTCAACGCTGTCGTTGCTGTCTGTTGATTTTAATTTCGACATGGAATGCTGCGGATAGGGTAGAATTTCGGTGATCTAGCAGCAGCTAGGACAATGGCTTTTCAAAGGTTCGCACATGAACTCTTGACTTTTCGACCATCTTGTCTGTTGTAAGCTACTGTTCTGATCCCGACCGAAAGCCATAATCTCTTAGTGGTCGTGCTTGAGTGCTGAACTGACGTTATGGAGTACACTGGCTGGAACTCAGTCGTTAAAGGCTCAACCATGCCAGGCAGATCAGCCGGGAGCAAACTGAAGAACAGCCAGTTCCCATATTACGAGAAATCTTGTTAGGTTGTGTGGAGATAAAATACTACTGTTACCTGCGATAGGGGTTTTGGGGCAGTAAAGTATTTTTTCAGACGACCAGCGGTGATACCTCCCCCCGAGGACGGCGTGGAACGGTCAGCCCCGAAGACTCACACTGGTAGTCCAACACGACTGTGATCGCCGGTCTGTTATTCAACACGGTCAAAATACTTTTAAAATTGTAATTAGGCGATGCTCATAAAGTGCCTACTGTGCGCAGCACCACTAGTAATCATCTTTATCAGTTGTAAGAACAGCGTACTTTTCGTACAGTGTTTGTAACTGCCCCACTACTAGTCAAACGATTTTGCCTTACTTCCTGCGTCTTCCGGCCAGGCCAGCCCTCTGCAGCCAACCGGGTCAGGTTGTTGAGTCATTGGCTTCGGAAGGGTCCTTAAGGAAAACCCCAACAAACGCCGCTTCGTTGTTCAGACATTTGAGTCGGCGGCTGGAGGAGGGTCCGCAAACAAAAGCCCTTGCTTCTTCCACTGCTTTGGGGGTCAAAGCCGTTGCAGGCGCGTACGAAGCGGCCCAGATCCACACAAGCCTTACTTCGCAGTCAGCCTTTGTTCAACGACTAGAGGATAGTCTTGTTCGCCACACTGCGTCTTCTAAAGGGTAGGTGGCCGGCATTCCGTGCTTTCCATGTAAATTATTGAACTCGGTTTTATGATGGATGATTAGGCATCTATCCGAAGGTGTTCGCGAAGGCTACCTATCTTCTGTTGATGATGGATCAGTAGGATGGCTGACCACCACCCAATCTAACAATGGCGCAAACATCGATCAATCCACAGCTTCTTATCTCGCCCTTCTACTTTAGTGAGGTCTCGCATGTCATCTGCAGAGGTACCGACTGCCAACCGGCTATAAACTCCTGGCTTTTGCGCATAATGCTTTCGGTTTACTTGGGAAACCCCATGTAGGACAAGCGATCCTGATGTGCCTCAACGGGCTTCTATCATATGGTCAGTGTGTTTCCCTTCTGACTGCTTGATGCACCGCATTTCAGTGTTGACCGGTAAATCCCACACACATATTTGAATGTAAAATGCCTTCAATATTGCGGGTGCAGTCAAGTTGTTTCCTATTTGTTTAGTCATATAGGGAAGTGCTGGTACAATCGTCAAAATGGTGTTCGAGGGAATATACCACCAGTGACCGCAGAATGGCGGATTAGCTAATGGATACACTTTACAAAGACGGTACGATAATCAATTATATATCATGTGGCTGAACAAGCCACAGTAACTTGACAGGCTCCGATTGAAGCGAGGCTGGACACTGGCCATTCAAGCTACTTATTTGCTGTCACCATTTGACACCGTTTGGTATTAATCTTACATTCACACCAATTTACTCGGTTTGGCCTGACCCGAATTGTTCCATTTTCAGATGGCCTCCTCAAATTGAAGGAAAGTGCGAAAAAGCGCAAGGGTCGTGGATTTATCGGAGGTATGTTTCCTGCTTAAACCATTAAACTTATTTAATATAGAAATTACCGATACATCGAAGGAGGGCTTCGAGAGTCTCAGAACTGCAGAGGATTCTGGAGGCCCGGGCCCACAACGCTGTAAGTTGAGAGTAGCCTACGGTAATTTTTCCAGCAATTGAGGGGTGGATCGTCTTCGTCCGTAATGTGCATGAAGAGGCAACTGAGGAAGATATCCGTGATAAGTTCTGTGAATATGGTGATATAAAAAATCTCCATCTTAACTTAGACCGCCGAACTGGCTATCTGAAGGTAAGAAACAAGTATTACAGTCCACTTACTTGCCAAAGGGCTATGCGCTGGTGGAGTATGAATTGTTCAAAGAAGCGCAAACCGCGTTAGAGCAATTAAATGGCAGTCTACTGCATGGTCAGACGATACGCGTTGACTGGGCTTTCACAAGGGGAGCGTCATCACCAAGACAACACACTCGGCACCGCAACCGTGATCGCAGTCGAAGTAGATCACCCGACCGTGCCCGTCGCTAAAACGTCCATGTTGTAAAATATTGTTTGCAATAAAGCATATCTATTTTTCCACTCTATTTTCGTATTCAACGGCATTCGTTCCAACGGAGTTATTAATTAGATCTGTCACCATGTGAGCTTCATTCCTTTCACCAAAAGCTTTAAAGGTGATCAGATAAACTTCGTGAACGAAATTGTGACAGCTACAACCAGTGTACGACGAGTACGCGGTTCTTACAGCTGACAGTGATGATGATGATGACTAATTTGGGTCAGTGGCTGATAGAGTGTCAGAGGACACCATGTGATCAGACGACCACGGTTAATTAGGAAGTCAGTATTGTTGTTGCTGGTGTATGCCATTATGCGCCTGTACCGAGTCCATTCCATGTCGACCACCTCATTGAGTTTCAGATGCGCTAAGTCTACCCACTTGCGCATTCAGGTTTGTTGCAGCCAAAACTATCTCAGCATTTGGCCCGCCATAGCACGACTCACAAGGCCTCCTAAAACTTGTCTTCAATGGTTTCAAACCTACGGCCTGTTGGGGCGTAAAATAATACAGTAAACGGACAGCGATCACCTCGCTTGTGAGATTTCTTCACGGAATCTGCCGGACGAACTCTGCAGAGGTGACTGTCAACAGTTATCCAGTTAAGCAATGATCCTTCCGCGCGGTGAGTTAAGACGACATAGACCATTGCAGATAAAGCTGCGGTGAATGTGTGTGGAGATGGAGCGGTCAGCTCGACCACTGTGCTTGTATCTTGACTTCTTGTTTCTGGTACACAGCACACATCACTGTCGAGGAAGTCCATTCTGAAAGCCAAGGTAGCTTATCCCGATTGCGAACCTTGAAAGCAGCCAGATAAAATGGTGGTCGAAGCTTGAAGATTGATTTCGAGCTGCCCGAGGTTGTCGGCACCGGCTAAGGCGCAAATGTAATTGTTCAGCTGTAACACCTTTCGGGTGCCTAGTTGCCATGCCACCCAAAGGAAGCACGAGGGTTGAGACACTGTCAGGTTGCCCAAGCTTAGACAGGTTAAGTCGAGATACAGAGGTTGGATTCGATCCATTGACATTCTGGTCGGTAAATTCGCGTTCTAACTACTTGGGCCATCTCGCGCAGATGTTGTGGCTAATACAGATGCAAGACGAACGGGGTTTTCATTCCTCACGGATGATCCTACAATATTTTCATTTGTGGGGTTATGTTGGAGAGTGGGTAGAATAATTACGTGAAAAAGCTGTCGTCAGCAATAGCCTCCTCTTCGCTCACCTTCCTTCTGTGTGCAGCCGGTTGGTGGCACCGCGCGACGCCCGATGTGGCGCAAGATACTTTTCGGATGTGTAATTCATGGTTGTACGTGGGATACTACCAGGATGCCCAGACCTAGACAAGACGATTAGGGTTCTAGACCAGTCTTTTGATCAAAAGCCTAACCCCAAGGTAGTAGCGTTTAGCGCGAAATGGAAATTCATTATCACTTTTAAAGAATAATTCGTCACCTATGTTCCACTCCTCAAACTGGAGATCCAGGAGATTGTGTTGTTCGAACCTCCAACCACTGAACAGCGTGGTACGAGTGACTCTGCGAGTGTTACCCAGACCCCCCCCAGTGTACCTCAATCGTTTACGGAGGCGCACAAGCCATCACACTTGGACAAGGCCGTCTTTCCTTGGAGGCTTGGTCAGAGCCAGTCAAGAACAAGATATCGGGCTTTAGAAATACCACCGGAATGCACGTTTTCGAATGAATCGTGCAGCGAGGCAGTTTCTTTGTTGTTCTCTCCGGCCAAACTGACAGGCGTTAATGGAACAGTCCTGTTAGCAGAGACCATGGAGTTCGGTCTTGAGATAATCTGTGCCCCGTATGGTTCGTAAACACATGCAAGTGGCATCCATGGATGTATGGAGATCCAGTTGGCCCCATTTGCTTTCGTTCGGCATCGGCGTGTAATTGCCTATTCACCGCGAACATTTGGCTCACCCGTTTCATAATAAGCTATGTCGAAGTCATTGGTAACTTAGTAAGAATTTACGTAATCACTTACTGCATTTTTAAAATGCTTCAGTACCATTCAAACGATGCTTTCATACCATGTTTACTGTCCAAAAATTTACCTGCTGTCAAACACAACCCCATGCGTTGCCGAGATTTCAGCTCCAGTTCTGCTGGCTACTTTTAATTGTCAAGTAATTAAACAAATGTGCGCAAATTTCGGAGGTACGGGTACATGTATTCTCGCTTGCTCCAGTCTGTGTGACTCAATGCTCGTCTTCAAATGGGTCTCTACTGTTAAGGCTGTAAATAAATTTGGCTCGCAAGGAGCATCACTCGCAAAAGTCCTCATTAATTTCACTCTGGGTAGGTAGAAAAGTACGGGCCGATCGCCCATCTATATGGGGAGTTTGAACGTAGATATTTTTAAGTACTTTTGTTCCTTGATGTCTTGATTTGGCAATTAGGAAGTCAAAGTAGGAAGATTATGACCTGAAGAGCTATGCCAATGTTAGGTGCGGAAAGGACAAATTGGAAGAGATCTTAGACTGACATTTGAACCCATTTTGGGTTTGCCTGAGGAATCACTTCACTAGACCACGGAGAAACAGGAAATAATGCGGATACATACATGAGCGGACCGATTTCGAACAGAGTTCGGGAGCTTCAAACTGACGCACTGCTGAGGAAGAAAAAGCGGCTCCCAAGTTTTGGTAAAACTGATTCAATGTCGGCAATCAAACACGGTGTAGGGGAATCGATATATAAACAGGTTCGACTAAGAAGTATCATTCACTCGCGTCTCCTGTGTGAAAGACAACTTCATTTTATCAAAGAGAGTTCGTACTAACATCAAAACGGAAGGGAAATTATCAACACACGTCAGATGACCTGTTAGGACTAGCAACTCGAAGTTCATTAGCACGGTGCGCGAAAGAAAGTTTTGAAGTTTATATTATTTTTGCATACTGATCGTCAGTTGCAAATCTCTTGGTTGTACGTGAGCTTATATACTGCCAGGGCGCCCAGACCTAGAGGACTATTAGACTAGCAACTCGAAGTTCATTAGCACGGTGCGCGAAAGAAAGTTTTGAAGTTTATATTATTTTTGCATACTGATCGTCAGTTGCAAATCTCTTGGTTGTACGTGAGCTTATATACTGCCAGGGCGCCCAGACCTAGACAGGAGGACTATTAGGTTCTCAGAAAATTCTTTAACTCAAAGGCCTGACCACAAGGTAGCGGTGTTTGGCGGAAAACAAATGTACTGCTATTTTTATAGAGTACGTCGCCACTCATGTGCTACCTTCGAACCTCGAGGACCAGGAGACTGTGTTCGTCAGACCTCTAAGCATTGACCAACCTGGTGTGAGAGACTGAGTGTAGGATGGACACCACCCAGTATAACTCAACGGGTCACCGAGGCAATTAAACTTTCAGACCACGGTGAGGTTCAGTCTCTGAGCACTGCGAGCGAAAAGATAAAGGAACAGTGATTTAGCCAGAAGATGGAAAATGTCAACAGAAGGATTAAGTTTACCCAGTAAGTATGACGCATCCTGAATAGTTAAAGCGGACCAAAAGTGTGTATGTACAGTGCGTACCCAACAATGAGAAAGTGTATGGCACTGAGAAGCATGCTGCCCGGCGCGATGAGATTATTTGTCTGAAGAGAGCCCGTCTGGAATATCATGCGGTGAGCCTTTTCTAAGAGCCTCGGGATAGCCGCAAATGATGCAATAGGATCTCCAATAGCCTTAGGGATGGGCTTAGTGTCAATTGTTGAGCTGAACTACCGTAAGCTCCAAGGCATTCCTTAATCGTCGGAGTGCTGTTCTGGCCCACTGGTGCATATCTTTACCGCACCTCTCGCGTGTCCTTCATTAAGATATGGATCCCAACCACCTTACTATTATCGGGCTCCGTTGGGGTGTGTGGAGAATCAAGTTCGTCTGGTGTACGAGGACAAAATTCATCGTAGTGGCGATGATTTCGAAGCGGAGTGTGATAGCATATTGCTCAGGATGGTGTAGTACTGGTGGGTAGGTTGTTCCCCCCTGAATATCCTCGGCCGGAGAATGATACCCTTGAAGTTAGTAAACATTTTTCGTGCAATTTATTTTCGTACTTCTGGTCAGAGTACTGTGTAAGTAAATTATCCAGAGACCTGACAACCAGTGGAGTTGGTCTCTTTTGATCTCGTCGTCGATGTTATCATAAAGTGTACACTCCGAGGGTTCATGACTCTAGGTATTGAAACCACAGTGGTGAAGGAGTTGTTGGACTAGTGTTAGGGTCATTTGTCCGCGCAGACTATCGGTGGTCCCATGATTAAACGTCATTACAACAAGCTAGCCCAAATGAACGAGGTATCGTTTGTGATACACGTGCTACCGGGACGTCTGCTCATTGAGTATGGAAACGATATTGGTCTCCTTCGCTCAGATGCGTCAAAAGTGCAAACCATTTTAAATAATCTAAATAATTCCACCACTCGCCTCGCCATACGTTTCGTACCTGAACTGCGTAGTGCTTCTACAAAACTGGTGGGATAAACAACCCAAATCTCCGGCTTGCAGACCAGCCGATCGGCAAGATAGATGAAATTAGTTACTGTGCAGTTGTATGAGTTTCGGTGAACTAGATGGAGATGAGATTACCCCTTGAATTTGGATAGCTTTTGCCAACCCGATACCTATGGTGATGTCAGTTTGTCTGTCAAGGGTAGACTTTACACTGCGGTAGTGTGATCCATACTGCTTTACGGATAGAAAACGTAATCGAAACGCAGAAGACATACGAAAGATATCAGTGTTTGACCAGCGGTCTCCAAAGCATTGGTGGGGTCTGATTGGAACACCCAATCAGTAATGCTGAGGCATACCAGATGGCCCTAGAAGGAACTAACTCTTCAACGACAGATGAGTTGCTCACGCTTATAAGTTAAGCTGTTTAGGATATGTAATCCGCATGCTAAATGCGCGAGATGGCTTAGTGAGTAGAGCGCGAATTTACCGACGGGGATATCCGTGGTTCAAACCCGACCCCTGCCTCTCAACTTCCGGGCAATATTCCTGCCCTGATGCATGGCAGTTAGACACCGAGGGGATGTTACAGCTGAACGATTATTATTATTTATTATGCCGAAGGACCGTCTGCCTCGCAGAGCTCTTTTCGCCCAGCCCTGTGCTGAGTGGGGGCGACGGATTTGGCGAAGAATTACGAAAACACTAACCAGTAAGCTTAACGCGTAGCTGTCCAGTCATCGAACTAACTGAACATGCCATCGTCTAGATTGCTTGTCTGACCTCTCACATCACCTTCCGGTGATTAAACTGTAGCAACTGGAACCAATGTACCAATGGTACATGTTTTATGGGTCATACATTGATTGATTGAGTCAGCGGTGTACATGAGCGCTTTCAATCATTGGCGTTTATATGAATCTGCCTAGCCCGCACAGAACTCATTATTTCGACCCAGAAGAAGGTTCCGACGATAAGTACGCACCAACAAGGTTCATCACACCCTGCCGTTTGTTGCTGAAAACATCCAAACCCTCCGTTAACCAGGTGCAGAAGACGTACTCCATACTCCGTGCTTCCAAAACGTTTACGTTCTGATTAGGAGACAATTTACCATAATCTGCATGTACTTCCTTACTGAGGGAATACTGTATTTGCCAGTGAGAGCCAGATAACAGCACTATGTAATGGAAAGTTTCGGAACCTAAATGAGGGTTATCTATCCCCAATATTTATCCAGTAGTAATAACATGTCGGTTTCCCAATTTCATGTTAATTTATGCTGAAAAGATTATCCTTCATTGGTAACTTGGACCATGCTCCCATGTTTGGCTCTAATTGATAGTTTGAATGTACTCGGCTGAACCAGATTGAAATTTCAGTCTGATGCGCACATGCTGCACCCACTTCACCCATGCACGGTAGACGCATCTGAACCGTTCAAAAAGCCGAACACGATGGAACTTGAGTGGTGGGTGTGGTATGTTCGAGGCATTGCACAACGGCTCAGTAGACCATTCTTAGTCCAATCGAAGTGTCTTGAACCTTTTGCCGATGTTCTTCTTGCCTATCCATATTCTTCGGTTAAGAAGCGAGAAACCGTGGATGTTGATATGCCTATCTTGACATTTCTTTCTGGATTCTTCCTATTTAGCCTCCAATCCTAATTATGCGTCTTAGCAATTGATTGTTCGTGAAGGAGTCGGAACTGCACACTCAAGTGTACAGAAAGCACGGTGCCTTTTATGGTGATGATGAATCAGTAGGGTTAAATCAGATAAAAAAATACATAAAACTGACCAGTTCTACATAGGTGGATTACGTAAATGTCTATAGACTGAGTTGTTTCAGTTGGATGAAATTTTGCAATTCAGGGGGGGGGGGAGAGAATGATATCAACAAAGGTGGCTGGTAACGAGCCGTCGTGTTTTCTTTGCCCCATACATGCCTTCAGCATATATCTTTTCTAGAACAGCATCAGGAACCAGGTATCGGATGGATGAACCTGATTTTATATTGTTTCGTACCATCGTTGCGCTCAGCTTGTTCTCACACCAGTCGGTAACAAGCATAATATTGTCCTGAAAGGTGAAAAACGAAACCAGGTGATATAAGACATTAATATAAATGCACATTATTATACCGGTAAACGACTATTGTTTGACGGTGGATGTGGATTCAGCACAAATAATATGAAGTTTTAGGGTCTGCGTATAGTTTACGGATTCGCAACTATGACAATTGTCGATACGTGTAACATCGAATGCTACTGATGAGGCATGCGAGTAGTATGTAGTTTTTTCGTAACCCCGCCTCGCGTCTAATGGAAGGGGGGTTTGTTACGGAACCTGTGGGGCTGCTTTGCGGTGTTTGTTTACAATTGCGTGATAGTCAATGAGTATCCACGAAAGCTCAAGACGACGCGCAAGGATGTTCGGTTTTTTAAAATAAGACCACGATAAGTAGTGTCTGTAAGCAGCGGAACTGAGACGTCTTCAGATGCTCGACAACCTATCTGATGACCATAGCTCGTGATAGCCGGTGCCAGCAAATCCGCAACGAGACAGGTGGAAAACGATCATTTGGTTGTGCAACAGAATTCTCAGTCGCAACACCAAAAGTGGTGGTAGTGACACCATCACGGCACTGGTAGCATAACGCGGAATTGGTGCATCTGGTGGTAAATCAGTAAATATAGTAGCTGGCTGCGGGGTTTCTATGCTCAATTCCTGAATCCAATTAGAACAACGCCAATGAGTTGGGAACATATCCTGAACATGAAACAAGGTTTACCTCGTGTTTTCGCAGGATATCAGTATTCTGGATGAGACTTGCTGGGTCCGAACCAGGACGACTTATGCAAATTATGCCATAGTCGCGAACCAAGGTTTCCATCTGGAAAAAGTAGAATGAAGAGAATAAATTTCATATCAGTCGAATGCAACTGTGAACTCATGTAAGAGACTCCAAGCCCACAACCTGCTTATTACCGGGCCCCCATTAGGAGCGTGGAAAGTTGCGAGCAATCATCTGACTATCCTAATGGATTTCGGCACATGAATTAAACCGAGCCAAACGAATTAAATTACATGGGGAGTAGATACAAGTGAGATAGTCGGCTGAGCGGTGCTGAAATTAACTCGGAACCTGAACATCTGGCGATCCAAACCTGGTGCCTGGGTGTAACGAAAATCGCCTCTCCACAGTGAGCCACATCTGGTTTCGTAGTACCGTGCGGTATAACTGATTCGTCCATCCTGTCAGGGAACAATACATTCGACCAACGGGTAGACCGATGCAATTATAAAAAAGGGAAAACAGCTCAAAACTTGGGAAGTGCAAAATGAACCAGTGTACGGCCTTAGGTTCCAATCGGCTCGTCTCGAACCGAGTTCAGCTGAGAAGCTAGACGAAAGTTACTGAAAAGACACTTCGTGCCGATGGATATTAAGTATGAAGGATACGACATTTGTACAAAGTATATAAGCTTGTCGGTGAATGCTGGTCTTGGGCGTCCCGGAAGTCTGGATAAGTAGCGAAATACTATTATTGAACGTCATACAGGGGTCTGATGCGCAAATTTAGACACTGACAACTATTTTTGCGTTCCACTGCCAGAGTAGACAGGAAGATGGGCTACTGTAATATGAGAACGCAATATTCCTTATGTGTTTTCTGATTCGTGACGTGAAAGCGTTGACCTCAACGCAGTCGATGACCCGTAGGCCATACACCCAACACCCAAAAGGGTGGCATAATTTAGTCGCTTGCTCAGTTAGCACTTTTTGGTGTTCTAGCGTCAGATTCTTTAGAGCACATTAAATACTCGCTTTGATTTCCAGTGACGTGCACAGAAGGTGAACAAATAAAACCAACCAAAGATTAATGACATTCAACTTTGGTTTTCTGTGTGCGTGCTTGCGGAAAAGACAAGTGTATCGAATACACACCAGTGACCGCACTCAAAAATAAGGGGCAACAGTGCTCCAGTTTGCCAAAATTCACAAATATATAAACTACCCATTAGATTGGGCCAATGATTGCGTATGGATCTAGAATTGACCACAACTCACACCACTGTACTAGAAAACCTGGTTTAGTAGGAGTGGCCCAGCGAAAGTGTCCATATAACGTTATTAGAATTGGAGAGCTGTCAGGGCGCGCCCAGACAGAAGAAAAAGTGCGTGCAGAGAGTGACGCATCCTCAAGGTCATCATCGGTTCGACACGTCCGGAAAGTAGGTGAGTTGGGGGCCCCCACGAAACACGGCCTAGCAACACAAGACCAGCGTAGTGGGCCTGAGAATGTTCACGACCGGACCACCACCATTGGCTGTACGAAGCGAACAAGTGAACGACCATATTTGGCCAAGTAGTCATCCTATGTATTTACGCAGACGCTCTGTACGTTTTGTCCTGGCAGTACAGCCGTGTCCCCAGTTCTCTGTCTTCTCCCTATCGCGTAGTCTGGCAGGCGCAGTGCAGGCGTAACCCATAGCTCGGTCACCCAAGATACAACAAGGGCAGAAGACTTTTTCCGTGCAGGCGGAAATAAAATAATGGCGAAAAGACATTCGGAAGGTTTGGTGATACTAGGTGAAAATTCAATTGCATGGGATTTTGAGGAAGATTGCAAACAATAAGATACCATTGAGCTTGATATGTCTTTTGAGTCGGCGGGATATAGGTATTTTGAATTGCGTAAAATGGAAAATAACCGATATGGAAAACAGGCTAAGGATATGCACAGTGTCTGGAGCTATGTCAAGAATATAGTTTCAAAATTAAACAAGACTACTCAGAATGGAAATAAACCTGCCACACGAACTTCTGTGTTGACATATGATGAAGAACGAAGCCAATCTTTCGTTTTATCGATGGACAGAGTGTTCATAGGATTGCGGAATACACTTCAACAATTCACAACGACTACGACGTTCTTGGGGCACACCATGTAGGTGTGACTCTCGAGTTTCCATCAGCCATATGTTCAGCTGATATTCAGTTGAGTACTAAAACCAAAGTTGTTTGCAAATGAGTGTATTTCGCGTATCGCGTACAATATTGGTTCAAGGAGATAATAAGGTTGACGAAAACTCGGGTGTGGGACTGCGCGTGACTGCTAAGTCCCCAGGTAGGGCGAAATCGGTTGTCCGCTGTCAAGGAATTCACAGTAGCTTTATCAATAGTGTGTTTGTAAAGAAAACACATTTCGGTATCTCGAACATCGTACTAGCTGAAACATGACGTGGCCTTTGTGCAGCACAATCAGTTGGAAAATACCACAAACGAAAGATTCAGTAAGGATTCATTTGAGTCTCTCGATAAATATCGCAGATGAATGTATTTCGCGAAAACAGATCTCCATTAAAAGTCGCTGGCTTGTTCGCTGAGCTGGGCACTTTGGTTGCAAACGTTTCATCATCAATCGAGGTGACATCATCAGTGCGTAGCGGTAACTCACCGCGACCATCCAGGCTACCTGAACTACCGACATTCTCTTCCATGAAAAGTGTTGGCAAAATGATGTTGATATTGAAGGCGGAACCCGAACCATAAATGGACTTGGCCGTCTTGGTTTTAAACAGGCCAATGGGGCCGAAAAACTGGGGGGCAGTAAACATACCAACAATAATTTCTCTATGACATACGAACTAACTTCAGCTACCAGAAAACCACCGTCAAAGAGGGGCGAACGAAAGCAAAAACGAAGGCCTCGGAAAAAGCTGTCACAAGATGGAGTTAGACGAGGATTTAAGATGACAAACACCATAGTCAGAGAAGCCCTGGTTTCTGGCAGAAAGATTTATCACTGAAAATGAGATGCCGAACGTTCATGTGAACTAGTCTGAACAATCCATTTGAATTTTGACAATATGAGAGCCTGCTGGTTTACATATGCGAGGAATTTAAACGATGAAGTAGTGAGAAGACACAAGGGTTAATCTAAGAATCCTAAAGCCAGTGTTTGACTAAGCAGTTTGACCTAGAAGGCGGAAGTTGTCGGGTTTTTCCTCTGAAGAGCCCCACTCGAAGCAAATGACTTACTAGCCTGATTAAGGTGGCGATGGCCCAATCCGAGGGAGCAAAGAGTGCGGCATAGATGTCTGACTCTTGATGTTGTTGCGCACACCAGATGCGCTCTGGCGCTGCACGGAACCCTTAGTAAGCGGGAACGGTCTACTGACTTCACAATCTTGTCACAGACACGAGTAAGGTTCAAACTCTGCAGTACTGCTAGTGTGAGAATCGGTCATAACTCTTTGTTGATCGTTTCTGCCGGGCCCCCATGACTTGATCAAATGTTGAGTCACTAAGTACAAGCAGATGTAGTAGATAGTGTTAGTACAGTACTTGGGCCTGACCACTGTCACAGACGGGGCAACCATGATGTCCAATGTAGTGGCTCAACCGTCTGCTACCTCACAATTCCTAGTTGGGTAAAAACGTGTGGAAAGTTGAATTTCCCATTGGATAGTTTCACCGATAGGTGTACGACGAGACAATGACAGTTTCTCATCCAACTGAAACATACTGCTGACAATAACTCCAAGCTCAATTACAATGCAGACGGTGACCGAGGTCTGAATAGATACCGATACTGTAGCAACAAGTCACTGAGAAATAGTCGAACTCACGTCATCCTCAGACCACAAATCAGGGACCGCGAAAGATTGTAGTACATCTGCTCCAAAAACCAGTTTTATTCGGGCCCGAGGATAACGCAATTTCCGCGCCCGTCGTAAGGTGGATGAAGGATCTGCTGGCACTGGATAGGCTATGTTGGGCGCTCCTTCACGCGCGCAACACAGCGTGTGAAATTCGAAGTCGGAAAGCTGACAAGTTACCTGACTCAGGCGACCAGTTAACCAAGATTCTGTGACCAGACCAGACTGCGCCAATGGAGAGCCACCTAGAACCCAGAAAACGGGCTCATAGTGGTGAGTACTTTAAAGTAGTCGGTAAACGGCACACAAATGGTGGGGTAAACCTGAAGAACAGAGCCTAACATTTGTCTAAAATCACGCTTTAGTTCAGAGGATCTCTAATAACATTAAAATTTCTTGCCTTCAACCGCATCCAACAGAAAATCGTCCAGCCGTAGCAGCCTTCTGGTGCCTAGCTGCCATGCTACCGAAGGAAGCACGAGGGCTGGGATACTTCTAGGTTGCCCAAGCTTAGATAAAGGAAGTCGAGAGGCAGAAGTTGGGTTCGAACCACGGACCTTCCGGTCAGTAAATTCGCGCTTTTACTAGTTGCACAATCTCGCGCTATCCGATAAGACAATTCATGTTCACGTACGAAGCGAAACGAGAGTAATAATATAGCGCCTAGGACAGGAATTTCGCGATCTTCAAAAATGCACTCCTGGGTCTTTGTCACTATTAGTCAAACTACAGATCCGTCGTACTCACGCTTCCCAGAGCAACCACCTGTGACTGAAAAGTTAGGTAAGTGGTGATTAAAGGGCGAAAAAACATGTGAGCAACATACAATCAGAAGCAGCTTATTGGTGTGCGGACAAACCCGTCTTCCACAGAGGGTACGAAACGGGTCTCCAAATATATCTAGTTAGCCGGTATCTGTATCCAAATTTCTATACTAAACCAGGCTACTCTGATGGGTCCCCGTATAGGATAGGCAATGCTACATGCGCATTTTGTTTGGCAGTGTACTTCAATTGAACAATCGTCTACCGGTCTAAATCCGGGATAATAAAGCCTTAGGGAGAGCAGAAAGAAGCAGGTTCAGAAAAATCAACATATCTAACTGGTGGTGCATAGTTGTCGAATGGTGTGGGGACAATTGAGCAGCCAAAACCTGAGATATAGGGGGTGGGACTCGGCTCACACATGGATAGCTGGTGTTGACCAATAATCAGTTTGGTTTGTACAATCGTCACTTCAATTAACGTTGTGGGCGTATTATTCCGGTCTACAGTTTCAGGATGAGTTCCAGGTAGACCCAAACGGGATCAACCTAACAGTGGTAACCAGTGATGTATACCTGGGTAGAGTGAATGGATTGTTAATAGTCCGAACCCAGATTAAACCCACATCTTATCCCGCCAATAACCGCCTTGATTTGAGCTGGTATATGCAACAATGGTCACTGAAGTACCATTCCAGCACCATCTTAGGATAAGCACAGCTGAATGCATACCGTCCACAAGCATGAAAAAATCAAATAAATGAATCATTCAGCTGTAACACCCTTTCGGTCCATAACTGCTATGCCACCAGAAGGAAGCACGATGGCTGGGATGCTGCTAGGATGCCCAAACCTAGACAGGGGAGGTCGAGAGGCAGAGGTCTGGTTCGAACCACGGATCTTCCGGTCAGAAAATTCGCACTCTAACCACTTGAGCCATCTCGTCCCCCACAAGCATAAGATGAAACATTCGAACTAAATGGTACCTGCGACTGATGTACTCGTGACCTGCATTTGTGTTTGCACTGATCGTCATGGACTATCCGATCATTGATGAATACAACTGTGGGCCAGCGAAAAACAGGGTAAGTTTGACTGACCCACGGAGTCAACGAATAACTAGACAGGCGCTAGTTCACGAGGTTGCTTTCTGTACTTATCACGGTGACGACTAGACAGTAAAAAAAAAGGTTAGCCACGGAGGTGACCTAGGCTTGATACTTCATATATTCGGGTTACAAGTTCCACTAAACACAGGAACCATTTGGTTCAACTGTTCGCTGTGTTTCCACGTGCGTTTGTGAACGACGTGCACTTTGTTCCGTGAACAAACTCAACGACTACATTTCACTAAATTCAGGTTGGCAGATTTCGCAACCTCGATTAGTGTCCGGATATAGCAGTTTGTCCCCCAGGATTCTATCCTTTTGTTCGGTCGACCACACAGAAGCTGATTCATGATCCTATTTCCTTCCCTTCCAACCACCACAGATACTTGTATAAGGCTGTGAACCCCATCACATTCCAATTCACTCACCGAACAACTTTTGCGTCCGACATTCTTTCACCCCAGTTGATACCCAGTACTCACTCTGGGCATTGCGCGTGGAATCTACTCAGGTATCCGACATACGTTTTGAGCGCCTCAGCGCCATGAAGCAGACGAGATAAGAACATCACTTTATGGACAAGTGACTGTGAACCACGAATGTGGACCACAAGTTTTCCATACCAGCTTCTTGGGTTTGTTAATAGCCACACAACACTGGCAGCCCATAGTCAACACCTGAGTCAACAAACTGTCACCGAGGTAACAAATGTGTACGGTAGTTCATAAACACTGCGCGAAAGAGCTTTACAGACGCTACCTGTCGAAGGCTGATGGATAAGGGATCTTCTCCGCGCCGAATCACAGGCCATACCGTGAAGCACCAGAGAACTTCTTAGCTAAACTTTACGATCCATGGTTATACACAAATAGAACACAGCTGACGGACTATAAAAGGTTTGATGTTGAACAGAAGTCCGGCACAATGGTACTCGGTCTCCACACTAGCAGCATCATTCAAGATAATCACTTCTACAATGATCGTCTAACTTGGAGTCTAGAGAGCACGTGCAAGGACGAATTCCTGACTCACGCTTGTGATGGCTTTGAAGCCATCTGAGATCGACCCACATTCCTGTACTTCAAATATTCCGTCCCGCGGGACTCATATGCTACTGCTGGCACTCCCACATTGCTGTATAACGTATTCCTTCGTTCACCATCTCCTTACCCCATTGTGAATACTTTCTTCAGAGCTATCAGAACGATATCATTGTTCGTCTTGAATTATGCATATCGAAAAATTCTGTGGGTCCATCTACAATAAACTGCGAAGCTTCGCTGATCCAGAAGGCCGAAGAGGAAAAAAGCGGAAACCTCTGCATGCTGTTTCACCTTATTTGCGCAGCAGGTCCCTGGAAGCATCGCATCAGTAAATCCACCAAGAGCCACAATGGCCTCCTGATGTCCAGCAAGGAAGAATGTTTATACAGTTAAGCAAGACATTTCATTGGAGCACCTGCCAATTCCCAACCCAGCTGCCAATCTGTGACAGAAACATGGACTATTAAAATGAGATCTTATTCAGCGTCAGAAATACATTCGTCCATACACATGGTGAGGTGACCTGCTCCTGACGAACCTTCACAGGGAAAGCGATGAACTTGGTAATGTGTGCAAGTCCAACTTACTCACGAATAATATCGTTCTTCACAAACGGTATTTTATCGTCCTGAATTCTGTCCGTCACAAAATAGTAGTCCTAAATCTTCACCCAACAATCCCGTCATTTTCCAACAAAATATGGACACCCCCAAAAGAGATCCATCGAAAATTGTCTTTCATCTAATCAGGAACAGGTTAGAGTACTCTCTGATACACAGAATATTTTCACACTTCTTAGGAAATTACTTATTGCAGTGAAGTGACGAGGAAATCGAGTTGAGTGTTGTCGTACGGAACGATCTCGAACCCATCTTAAGGGAACCATAAGCTACATCTGGAAATCTCCTGGTGATAAAAGCAATGGTAACTAGTTGCGTACACAACTGAACTACACAGTACGTGAATGATAATCCAGACTGCAAAAGGATCAAATGGCGTTGGAGCCATTTAAGCCCGGAAGAAGTAAGATTGTTAGTTGGAAGTCGGGCTGCGAAATTGATGGATTCGAAGCGATATAAAAACCTGGGGGTAGGGATAACGTAAAGTTTCTTAAATCCACTCATTCATGTTGACCGTTGCGGCAATGTACCAAAGATACAAACCTACAGAATCACGACCTGAAACTGCACCACCAATGGACTTATTCAAACGGACAGTGGACCGGAGACTCGTCTGTTCACACAGGGGTTGTATTGCGAGTTTGCGCCTTTTAGACAGTTGGTGTTGGATCGAGACACCTTTTCTAGGCTTCGCGAACCGGTTCACAAATGCCAGAAGCCGAAACGCCAAGAGTCGAGAACTAGTGTAGTGTCACAAGCAGCTGATCTGAGTTCTACCCGTTTAAGAATTATTTATGTTTTCAGCCGCCGTGGCACCACCGTATCATCAAAATCCTAGCAGTTCACCCAGTTTCCCCATCATCCAATCCACAAATCGCATTATCGCACGTGCTTGCACACGTACGCACCTGCGTCTGGCGCACGCATCACTGCATGTGAAATATTGGACGTCACTCTCCCCTCCGGCTGGTGAGGTGACAGGCGAGTGAAAATTGCGAGCTCAATCCTACCGTCCTACGGTCCGACAGGACATCAGTGCGATTGACTAAGATGATCAGGTGGACACGGTGCATCCGGTCACCTCAGGAATGTAGCATAGACAAACCGGCTGAACTGGAACACAAGGAATGCCGACTTATTGGTGGACGCGTACATTCTTCGCAGTGGTTTCCATCCTCCGTGTGGTTGTTCGGAGAGGTCTTTTCGAGTAAGCCGATTCGTTGGTATAAAAAAGGACCTGAAGTCGGAGCAACCTATGGGATTTCATCAGCTCATCTGTCGTGTACCATTTCCCCCAAAAAATCACTTGGCACATCTCAGCATTTTCGGTCCAATGTTCGAAGGGAATTCGGGTATCCCTACAAATACAAAGACGATCAAGCTATGAAGGCTTTTTAACACACTCAGCTCGCACTGTTCAGGTTACTGTTCAATATGACAGCGTGGAGCGCAGGTTGCAATGTATACTTGATCCTCAGCCGATAGGTTGATGTCACATCTATGCCACAGATGCTGCAGTTTGGCGGTCCATCTGGCTTTCCTTAACCTGATAGCAATGTCATATTTAGTTAAACCACACGGGCTTGCACAGCTACCCAGAAAAATAAATTTGTCTACCACCTTGACTCATCTGTAAGCATGAGTTTTGACTTTCATCCTGTCCAGTCTTGCATCAGAGATTTTTAAACTTTCTAGGTGTGACGAGCACAT